AAATCTTGCTTTACGGCTATCAATTGGACTTGTGCAAGGATTTTGATAGGATTAAATGGGGCTCAGTGAGACCGGTTATGCTTAAATTGAGTTTTAATGGCTTATTTGTGAGATGGATTATGCAGTGCATTACTACTTCCCATTTTTTTCCTTTAATGTAAATGGTGATGTTGCAGGTAGCCTTAAGCCTTCAAGAGGGATAAGACAGGGTGACCCACTGCCACCCCATCTTTTTATTCTAATATCTGAGATTTTTTCACATTTGATTAAAACTGAATTGGTTAATGGAAATCTGCAGGGGATTAAGTTGAGTAAGAATTGCCCTGTCCTCACCCACTTGTTATTTGAAGATGATACATTAATATTCTCTAAAGCGGACATTCACCATGCTTCCATTCTGCTTCAAATCCTCTTAAACTATCAAACCATAATTGGCCAGAAAGTCAATTTATCAAAATCCTTCATATACTTTAGCAAGAATACACCACATACCATGCAAACTCAAATTTGTGACACATTACTAGGCATTAAACCCTTTTACTCTACCAAATACCTAGGTCTCCCCTAGATATATACAGATCCAAAAATGCCACCTTCTCTTTTGTGGAAGAAGCCACCAGGAAAAAATTTTAATTGGGCAAACAATTTTTTTTATCATGTGCAGGTAAAGAAGTTCTGATCAAAGTAGTCCTCAGTGCATTCCCCAATTACACCATGTCCTGTTTCTTACTGCCCAAATCAGTGACCAATAAACTTTCAGCTCACATTGCCAACTTCTGGTGGAAAAATAAGAAAGGCAACTCCCAAAGTATTCACTGGAAAAGATGGTCTCACCTAACTCTTCCTAAGGATCTGGGTGGAATTGGAGTTCATGATCTGCACACATTCAAAGAGCTTTCATTTCAAAACAGCTGTGTAGAATTGTATCTCAACCACAACTTCTGGTTCGTAGAATATTAAAAGGAAGATACTTTTCTCATGGAAGTCTGTTTATAGCTACAAAAAAGGGCAACTGCTCATGGACTTGGTCCTGCTGGTGTAAGGTGAGAAGCTTCTTCTTGAAAAGCATCAGATACCAGGGTAGGAATGACAGCTCTAGAAGCATCTGGGATCATCCTTGGGTGCCCCACCTACCAGCTCTCAAACCCCAGGGTAAGCATATCAGAAACCCAGACCTAACTAAGGTATGTGATTTGCTAGATGAGACATGCAGAAGATGGGACAAGCGAATTATTGATCAATGGTTCACTAAAGATGAGCCAACTGCTATATTGAAGATTACTGGCATGGATCCCCATAGAGCTGACTTTATGAGCTGGGAATGCCAACAGAGTGGAAAGTTCTCAGTTGCATCAACCTACTCAAAGATGATTGAAGACCACTGTAGGCAGATGGACATAGCTGAATCAAGCACCAATCACACTCAGATGAAAAAGATTAAAAGAAGAACATAGGCACTGAAAGTCAAAAGGGAAATTGAGACATTTCATCTTGAAATGCCTCATATACTGTCGGTGCTGGTTAACCTCCAATCCAGGTCCAGAGGAGTGGTGTTAGACACTATCTGCAAGTTCTGTGGGGAACAAGAGAAAACACATGAGCACATTATCTTTGAGTACAATAGAGCCCAACTGATATGGAAGTTAGCATCAGTTTCATGGGTAGAACTAGAAGCTGACACTAAATAATTCAAGCAGTGGTGGTCTAAACTTTGCACAATTGGACACAACCCCATAGCCGAGGAAAGAATGCATCTCTCTTGTTACTTGCTGTGGTGGATGTGGAAAACAAGCAACTTATGGGTTTTTCAGAACACTTGGAGATCAGAGGGGCATACAGTATCTTTTGCCCAGAAAGAGTGGCTCGAGTTCTCCCTTTGCTAGCTGTTTTCCTTCAGTTTTCTTTTTTATCGTCCTTGTTCATTGTTTTTAGGTTTTGTTAGTTTGCTAGGTCCCGTGAAGGATTCAGTGGCAAACTAATTTTGCTAGCACGGTTGTACATATTGTT